CAGGTGGCTTGGATGAGGATGTCAAAGCCAGTTGCAATCGAAAAGGCAAGACAAGCATTCAACACTCTGAAATCACTTTAGAAATCTCCTACAGTCCTCCTCAGCATAAAGAACAAATTTCGGAATTTCAATATAAATATAAAGTCAGTCAGAATTTAATTGGTGGATGGTGATTAGCAGTGGAATCCAGGATGCGCATTTCGTCCTATTTGGGATTCGTCAACTGGATGTACATGCATTCCCCAAATAACTTCTAATTACATGCCTAGACATCGTCGAAGCATCTGCACAAGAAGCCGACATGTCAACCTGAGCCCGAGCACTTCAGTCCAATCAATCGACGGGAAAATCTAGAATTCAATTAAATAATAAAGTCAGTCAGTTGTTCTATATGGGTCAAAAACTTTGTCGCGTGCATTTCTAACAGGTTTCAGACTTATATCAACTGTTGACTGACTTTGTTGGCTTCACATTGTAGATCAAATAGTGGGTGGGAAAGAATCAGCAAGAAGAAACTCAAGGAATGAACTAACCAAGAATCTACTACTGGACAAGTATTCCGAAGAAAGTGGAGATGGATCCGACAGATGCTGAGGTGACCACTGGGTGATACCGCGCTCCAGGCCTTTGAGTGGAACGCAAGTGGGAGACGATAAGTTAGGTGTTAGTCGCAGGGTGACATCTAGGAGATCGTGTGGAGGGGAGATGAGAGCCTATAGGTGACCGTGGAGCGAGCTGAAGAGGATTTCAAAGAACGGCTTAAAATGGAGATATGTTGTTGAAGTCCCGTGTTTCACTCGGAACCCAAGGGAATAATAATTAATAAAATCTGCTATAGTTATTCCGTAAGGATTAGCTTTGTTTTTACGAATTGATATCAGTTAGAGGACCATTGAAAACCAGGGAGTACTGGACAGCTGTTTCATCCTAGTTTGGGAATCGTCGGTAGTACGCACCCACTGCCAGGGTTTGAACCCAGGACCTCCCGATTACAGGGCAAGCTCATATGCCATTCAGCCACTGGGACCCGATTCAATTTTTAGCCCATGAATTCTAACTTCTAACAATTCGTGATTTAGCGTGACTGGCGCCAACCAATGTTATTGGTGGGAAATCCATCCTCACACTTGGCTGGATGGACATCACTGGTCACGACTTCTCACTAGAACTCCAGGAAACTCCATCCTGTAGCAAGTCACTAGCGAGCATCAGATTAATTTTCTATAGTTGTTTTTTAAGGATTACTTTTTTTGTTTTAAAGAGTTGATCACAGATTGATATCAGTGTAAAAAATATACAGAGGTATAAGTCGGAAGCAATATATACGGTAACACTACATGACGTTTTGCGTCTCAATTCTGTGAAATTCCTAAATTCCGGTATTTATTTATCAGAATTTATGACAGTAATATCATGTTTTGTGGAGTTTTTCAATAATTCATTGGTGTGTTATAAAGTTATTCTTCCATTTCTTTGATTATGTGCTAATGGCTTTCAACACTATCCATGAGGTGATATCTCAGGAACCCAATATTTGTTATTTGATGTGTAAACTACGTATCAGTTATGCATACGTTTGTATCAACATATTGTCAAGTAATTGTTGCTCCTTTTAAATTTATTTTTTTAATGGATATCTAGTAGATAGAACAGAGTGCATTGTTTCACTCTATATTTTATCTGGAGATATGGCTGGTCTGCTTAAGCACTCTGAACTTCCCATCAGTGGTTTCTTGGTTTAAGTCCGTCTTCAACAAATTCAACTTGTACAGTAACGCTAGAAGATAAGGTACTTGTTAACGGACCTTTATTCAGGAAAAACATCATATTTATACATTCTTAATCATATTAAGGTTCGTCTACGTCAGAGGAGAATAAATTGTTCTGATTGGCTAGCAACTGACTCAAGGTTAAACGAGTTGTCCATTGAGGTTATTTCATGTCCACAGAGTAAACTAAATTCAGATTTGAGAAATAAACACTTCTACCTCTACAGCCAGCCATTCACTTAACATGTTGATTTCAATTTTAGTAGCTTCCTGTCAATCTACATTACACTACACTGCTAACTGGTAGTAACGTTAGCCCTATGACACAATAATTGTGTAGTCCATAACCTGATGCGCGAAAAATCTATTGTGTGTGTAACTAAGTTCACATATTTGGCAAATACCAACACATCTCATTGATTGATCTAGTATTCTTCACTGATACCTCCATCTCCAGATTCGTATAAATATAATTCATTTTGATTGGTTGGAGGATTTCCTCATGAGCTGACATCAGTCAGAGAACCATTGGAAAACTTGCTGGGAGTACTGGACAGCCGTTTCGTCCTAGCTCATTTGGGACTCTTCATCAGTACGCTTCACTGTGTTTATAACTGTAAAATGCGATGAATTTGGATTTCTTCAAGAACCATTATCAGCTATATATCACTGAAAACCAAGGTGTAATGGAAAGTCCAGCCATGTCAAGATCAATTGGATGCCCACTCGTCAAAGGTGTTGGTTTTAGGAAGCCCTATATCACGGATCACTGAATTCCGGTCCAAGTGACCGAATGGTCAACGAGGTCGGTTTCGTATCCTGAAGGTCTCGGGTTCTGTGCCACGTGTAATCGTCAGTGTGCACTAATGAAGAGCCCCCTGCGCTGATCTGCGCAGAAATTATCCCAAGTACCTATGATTTAAATTACTCTTGTTCTAAAAATACCATGAAGATATTTCATTATCCCATTTCGACCTAGTTTGGGACTCTCCAGCAGTACGCACCCACAGAGGTTCGAACCCAGGATCTTCTGGTTACAAGGTTAGCGAGCTCGTAGACCATTAAACCATTGAGACCCGATCCAATGGCCAGTGCATGAATTCCAACATCTGCTGTCCAGTACTCCCAGCTGGTTTTCCATTAGTTCTCTAACTGATGTCAGTGCTCATGATGAAATCCTCCAACCAATCAAACAAACAAAAAATCCCTACAAAACCAATACTTGACAATTAATTTCCTTATTTGTTAATATTTCCTCTGTCAGCTGAAGCTGAAAAGCACTTTCACAAATCGAAATCAATCAAAAGTCTACAGCTGCCTGATCATTCCAGAAGTAATTGTCTGTCAAATCTCTCTGAAAATACAAGCATTTCAAGTAAATCGTCTATCAACTCGCCAGTTGGTAACACTGTCACAGATAAATCTGACCAGTTTTCAACATGCAGCACTAATCTTGTAGATAAATTGCGTCCAACTCCCTATGAATCATTTGTGTGTACTGAGAATACTAATTCGCATAACTCAATAGATTGTAGGAATAAGTAAGTCGAGTAAAAAGTTCGTCTATGCAATTAACAGATATGTGGGTATCCTTATTATTATTATTAAATTTATTATTCCTTTAGGTTCAGAGCGGAACATAGTGAGACGGTATCTCTATATAGCCAAATTATGTACACCTTATCTTCAACGCACCATTTGCACAGATCTTCCATGTTGTGCCTGCTACTTCTGGTCTTCCTTCATATTGTGTTTCTTTGTGTTCCTTTCACGTCTCCCATGTATCTCCACAACGCTGTATCATCTGCTTTCTCTGAAATCAAATTTATCTCCCTGCTATGTGATTTTTTTATGCCGATGAATGTCTCTTTATATATGTGTACTACTGATAAATCTTATCAGTAGCACTCGCCACAATAAGGCTTCAGCAGCACATCTCTATAGCTGGCTCCCCGATCACCCGTAAGCTTTCTTCCTCTCCTCACAGTATTTCCTGCATGTTACCCTCCGACTGATGCTCAAACTGGTTGCTTCCTATTCGGCTTTCACTCGCGAGCCTAGCGTGTGATGTTACTGAACGGGCTCCTGAGCGTGTGTCTAATCCGCTTCCATTTTATTTTTCGGGCGATAGGTTCTCGGTTGGTTTGTTCCCAGAGTTGCTCGTTACCCTATCTTGTCTTAACATCCGATCGTCACTACGGAGCGAAGAGATCTGTTGGCGAAAGTCTGCAGCGGCCTCTTCAAAATGCTTTTCGGAACGCACACCAAATCCTTGAAACACATAGAAACACTGACTTGTCATTCGTGGCGAAAATTCCAATCTTTTCCCTTATGCTGAGTACATCAGATTTCCTCGCTAATTTCAGAATAATGAACACGTGTCTCGCTTTTCCAACATTAGTTAGCTTTAACATCCTGATTTGTGGCACGTGTAGTTGAAATGATGCCACTAAGATAATCGAGAGACGTTTAGATTTCTCCCGTCTATAGTAAATAGTGCTTATTTTAGCTGACTAGGTATTTTCATCAACCGTTTCTTATTTATACTCACTGGAAGTCCATTCTTCTGTGTTTCCTCTGCCAACCCAGTGGTTTTCGCCTGTTGGTCTTCGATTTTGTGTCATGACATTAAACATAAATCATCTGAGAAGTTCAGATCTTCTGAAGTTTTTCCATCGGTCCAACAGATGCCCATTCTCTTCCTTCTAAACGTTTTGGACTGATGGCGTGACGCCTATGGATCCGTTTTCAGTGCTCCTAGAGGAATCCCGACTGAACCTGCTTGCTTTCAGTAACCAAATGGCATTGAAGACTTCTGCTTTTTTCGGTGGACTGGTGTTCACGGTCATTTCTGTGGTTATCGCTGGTATTTCTGGGCGATATGCAAGTGGTGGTCAGTTCAAGGATTCTCTGAACTGACCAGCCCATTGTTTTCTTTGCTTCTCCTCTTTGGTAATTAGTTTCTCTTCACTATTCATCATTGGTTTCATGTAACGGTAGAAGTAAACGGTCATTGTAAACGTTTCTCATATTTGAGCAGTTTTTGCCATTATCAGGTGTATTGTCAAAACACCAACCATCTGAGCTACAAATCTTCATTCTACCGAAAAAACATGTTTCCTGCTGGCAAAGGCAGACTGCCATTAATGCTAGAATATTGTGGCGTGTGCTACTGATAAGATGTATCAGTAGTATATAAAGACACATTCATCGGCATAAAAACATCAAATAATGGGGAAACAGATTTGATGTCAGTCAGAGAAAGCAAATGATACAACAGCGTTGCGGAGATACATACATGGGATACGTGAAAGGAACACAAAGAAACACAATATGAAGGGAGACCAGAAGTAGCAGGCACAACATGGAAGATCTGTGCACAAATTGTGCGTTGAAGATAAGGTGTACATAATTCAGCTTTATAGAGATACCAAAATGCCCTCCTTTATGAAGTTTTTCCTCTTCTATCGCTACAATATGTTTGTCTACCAATTCAACTGGAGACGGAATTTATTGGTTCAGAGATTGAATATAAACTTCATAAACTTCAGTCCAACTGACAACTGTGTAGTATTACTTACTCTCACATACCAAGTACTCTTCATATTTTGGTGCTTCAGTATTTGTCCTATTAACCAAAGTATTCTGACCGAAACTGTGACCTAGTAGACTATCAGCGAATACTAACTTAATGCGCTGGCTAATCTGTCCCAATCGCAATTCAACAACAACAATAACGCCGCCCACACTCAAAGACAGAAGAGAAGACTTGACGTTAGTAAGAGAGCTTTTACTGTCTCAAAACAGCAATCTAAAAAGGTTGACAGCGCTTGAGTATATATATGTTTAAAATGACTTTGAGAAGCACAAAAGTCATTGATGAATTAAGACAATAAACAACCAATAGGATTCCAAAGGTCATAAGTAGGCTGAGAAAGTCAGTTCACAAATCAATAAGTGGGGTGAGAGAAGTACAGACAGACATGTAGATAACTAGGTGTGTATACATCACAAAGTTTCGAAGATTCTCAAACACTTAGTGTGTTTTTCATGCATATTAAAACTTTTGGAATGTGATAAGATGATAGAATCATAACAGAATATTTCGGGGATTCTAGTGAAACTACTGAAATTTCTCTAATAGAACAACTTTATATTAGCTTAATAATTTTGCAGAAATTATTCACATGCAAAACTGAGCCACCCTCTCTCGCCCGCTTACTTTTAACTAATAAGATTAGTTGTCGTGTTATCTTATGCAAAATACGACTGATAACTTCAATTTAATATGACGAGGTCAGCGGACTTATCTGGAGCTGACCAGATCCTCGGTTTACAAATTGCGGAAGTTATTCAGACCACAATGTTTGGTCTACTTGATAACCTATAAATAGCATGACAGTATATACTACTAACGGATTTATATGAGTACCTGGGTACCACCACTCACATCAACCAGTAATCCTTGTTAGCCAGACTCAACTGCATAATTCATGTGCAGGAAGCCGATTTGATTCTATTTATATTACCAGTTCGATCAAGTAGCCAGCGAGAAATTGAATAATTTCAACTGATCCAGCTATTTGAGCTGAGTCACACTGGGCACATCGCTGATATGAGCTCGGTGTAAACAGGTGTAATGGTGGTCCGTTGTTCAGATCACTTCGACCTGGCTAGTGAACACTACTCGTTGGTCTGGGTGGTATCCAATTGGCCATATCAATCGATCAATCAGTAGTCTGCACCGTCATCCATGGAAAGTAGTATGCTTACTTCGAAACCTGAAGATTTCAAGTTTTTTTCCTTACTAGAGTGGATTACTGAAACAGGATGATTGACTTTTTCTGATTGGACACTAGTCAGTAAATAGTGTAATGTGTCTAGTCTTATCTTTGGTGTAGACAGATTCTATCAGTCGTCAAGTCTGCAATATGGCCCCCACTCTAGGTGGTTCACCACTGCGGTACACCATGAAATTTTGTTATTAAATAGTTGGAGGCAATTGGCAGGAGGCCCTAGACTTTTGTTTCATGTGTGTTGACACCCACCAGTCAGCCTGGCGTATCTGCAATCACCTTGAATGAACTCATGTCCCTTCTGAGCCACCTAATGGCATGGTGGCCACATTGTAAACTTGACTGATAGGATTCAGTCTGCACCGAAGATAGGACTAGACACATTACACTAATTACTGACTAGTGTCCAATCAAAAATATCCCATACAGTCCTACAGGAGGTCAGTTGAGAGCCCGAATAGCTCAGTGATAACGTCTCTGACTGCAAGTGGCACCGGGTTCGAATCTCAGAAGGGACATGGGTTCCTTCAAAGTGATTGCAGAATACGCCTGGTGCCCAGTGCCAACTAGCACGAAACCTAGGTCCCGGCAAGGCTTCCTGTGGCCGATTACCTCCAACCATCTAATCACCACAATGATTGGTTTTCTAGATGATATCATCATTTGGTGAAGCGACTCATCAAACCCTCACTTTACTCTTTTGTTTTCTCTTACAGAAATACAAAACAACAACTTGAACCCATTGATGATTACGATGAAGTGCTGTTGTCTATGTGGCGTCGTTTATTCGCTCAGCTGAATAAGAAATTACCTAATCTTTGTCTTTGTATGCAATACAGTAATAATAATGATGGTGTATACAGTGGTCGAATACCACCATGGTTGGAATGTGCCAATAATTGTCGATTTTACCAAAAACCTGAAGGTATGCGCATGTTTATAGAGAATATGAGTAATAGTAGTGTGGGGAATGAGATCACTTTATTCTGTACTATTCACATTTCATTTCACATCGAAATACGCCTTAGTATAGTATCTGGATGCTGACATGAGGGGATTGCTGAGTTCTGTGAAATCATAGGGAGAATTCCTTTTGTTCGAAACTTCCTCTGTTTGACAACATAAAGGTCTAATAGATGATGCATATGCCTATTGATCTGTCTGGTTGAAATGCGACAAAATTACCTAATGTGTACCTCAGGGGTTCAATAGTAGAATGCTCCCCGACTACGTAAGAGATCTGGATACGATTCCTGGCCGACGCATTCTTAAACATCGCCTAGTTAGTTACTTAGCAGCTTTTAGTAAACCGAGTAAATTGGTAGAAGTTAGAATTCATGGGCCACTGAATCGGGTCCCAGCGGCTGAATGATATACGAGCTTGCCTTGTAACCGGAAGGTCCTGGGTTCCAGCCCCAGTGGTGCTCAGGAGGCACAAACACGAGAGCACCAGGCAGGCTTTAAACCAGGAAGAGGGTGTATTGATCATATCTTTACCCTTCGACAGATTCTGGAGCATAGGCATACTCACTGGCATCCAACAATCGTCATATTTCTTGACCTGAAAGCGGCATTCGATTCCGTCGACTAAGAGGTACTCTGGCGATGTCTGGCTCTGAATGGAATGCCGAAAAAATGGATCGCACTGACCAAGGCACTCCATTCGAACTCATGCAACTAGGGGAGAGCCTACGGAGAGTTGTCATCTGAAGTGGTGACAACCAGGGATGCCCACTATCCCCATTTCTATTCAATTTCATCAAAGATGTACTAATAGACTTAACTCTAAGTGACTTCAGCAATTTAGGGGTTGACCTGTTACCACCAAGGAATAATTTCGTTGACTTAAAATATGCAGATGATATAGTTCTTCTAGGTGGAGACGATGACAAAATGCAGTCTCCTGAGTATAAATCTTCAAATGCTTGGCATGCAATTTGCTCCCGCCAAATGTAAGATGTCGCATCCTACAGGACTGGACTACATTGATTCCTAGTGAAGTGGGAGAGCGTGTTGACCACTTCACTTTCTTAGGAAGTGGCACTAGCCAACGCTAGCGGGTTGATCACTGACGAAATCTCAACATGGATACAGAAGGCTCGCTTGGCATATGCCAACTTACACCATCGCTTGTGTAGACGTGATATCCGACTGTTGACTAAAGTGTGTGTACTGCTCAGTAGCTCGCTAGTTAAGCCACTAGACTCAACTTCTAACCAAGTTGTGGTTTCACTCAGATCATCATCCTCTCCTTTTAATTCAGTATGATTAGGATTGACAGGAAAAGACCTACTCCAGCAGTCAGTGTAACGTATCATTCATTCACATGACAAGTGGGCATTACCTATGGTGATTGTGGTGAGATGATAACCTGATTAGGAGATGGGTTTCGCAGCTCACGTAGTAGAGCACCGGACTATTAATTCAAAGGGCGTGTGTACTGCTCAACAGTCCGCTCCGTCCTCCTTTATGGCTGTGAGACCTGGCCATTGAGAGTAGAAGACATGAAAAGACTAGCTGTCTTTGATCATAGGTGTCTGCGTTCTATCTCCCGCGTGAAGTGGTATAATAAGGTGAGCAATATTGAGGTTACGCGGTGAGTGCTAGGTATGGAGGGGAAATCAATCGACGAAACGGTGAAATTACTTCGACTGAGATGGTTAGGACTTGTGTTACGTATTCCTAGTCATCACCTTCCTCGACGGGCAATTTTAGCTAATATAGCGTCAGGCTGGAAAAGAGCTAGCGGCGGTCAAACCAAAACATGGCACCAGTCAATGAAATCTACAACAGTTAGCTTAAGCCACGTAGGAAGGTGTAGACTTCCTGGTTGGGATCCTCGGGACGGTAAAAGCCAATGGTTGGAAACAATTGGTGATATGGCTCAAAATCGTTCTCAGTGGCGCAGATGCATCCACTCCTTGTGACTTATGATTTCCAATGAAACTGTTTTGTTCTTCGTTATTACTATTCCTTTGTCTCACACCTCTGTTTACTGTCTATATTATGCATTTCTTCTCTTGCTTTGTGTGCTATATGGAGTGTGGCGACTTGAACTGCCGCACATATGTGCAAAGTTCTATGTCGAAAACCGACCAACCGACTTTTAATTCAAGGGTCATTGGTTCGAAACCCATAGCGACCCTGACTTTTATTTCAATTTCAGTCATCACTCAACAATATCAACATCAATAATAGCCTATCAATCCAATATCACATTATTTAGTTTCACCATCAATTAATAATTTAAGAGGTATGGAAATAATCTAACTGCCTTTTTGTAAATTAATCAGTCAGTAGAATGGATTAACCTTCATTTGACTTTCTTTTTACTGTGTTCTCAGCTTTCTTGAAGTCTTTAACTGACTATATACAATCACAAAATTGGTCGTAATCTCAGACAGTCCAAGGCAACCAACCATATGATGAAAAATCCACCCAATATTTTATACCGATCTGTAAATATTTTTAAATAAATAAAACCTTTTGATCGATTGCACATGTTTCAGTTTTCTTATATGTACCAAATCACGATATCAGTCATTTCCGCGGGAGATGTATGGTTCAAAAAGAGGGGTCGGAGGGGGAAACCCCACATTTAATTTACAGTCTTAATGGTAACTTCGATATGAAGTGGACACCCTATCCACAATTGTTTGTCAAAGTTAAAAGATAAACTTGCACAAAGAGACAATCTATGTAGAGCATCACGAAGCTAATTTATCATCAGCACTTACTGGGTAAGTAAGTGCTGAACCGCTAATGATGTGATAACAATTGGCAATCCTGTCATACTTTATATAATCGGTATCGCCAAACACAAAGCAATTTGAATAGAGCAAGAACAACAGATCTTGGAAAATAAAGTGGTACCATCATTACCTATTTCGTTGGCTTCTCATCAGCTGCTTGCTTACAGCTAAAAGTCATTATTAAGTATATCTACAGAACCAATTTTAACATACTTGCACAAAGTTCATTTTTAAACAAAAATCAATCAATCAGTATATGCATACAATGCCAATAATAATAAACACTTTATCCTAAATAATAATGATCATATTTAATTTAGGGATGGTGACTAGCAGTGGAATCCAGGATGCACATTTCGTTCTATTTGGGACTCGTCATCTGGATGTACCTGCATTTCCCAGTGAGTGATGATGTTCCCACCGAGGCTCGAACCCAGTGCCCTTGGTTTCAAATAAAAATGATCATATACAATGGAAAAGAGTTCAATCCGCCTAAGCGATCTCCATCAAGCGTCTGAAACCCGATTTATGTGTTCAGAAGGAAGAGGTGATGAGTCCTCCCAGGCCCTGCCTGGTAATTGGATATCTTCATCCTCCCATTCATCTGATTACGCAATACCGAAGGTTTCCATTGTGTATGATCATTATTGTTTGGGATAAAGTGTTTATTATTATTAGCATTGTATGCATATATTTATTGATTTTCGTTTAAAAAAAATTTGTACAAGTATATGTATTCTTAGTAATGTCTCTGAGCTGTAAGCAGATGATGAGAAGCCAACGAAGTTAATGAAGGCACCAGTTTATTCTTCAAAAACTTTTTCTTGCTTTATTCAAATTTATTAAGGGGAATAAATGAACAAAGCAATTTGTTAAACAACTTATAGGGTATATATTGAAAACAGAGTACGATTGACAACCCAGAACACACAAGTGATTAGTCCTAGTGCCAAAATCTCAAGAATTATCTATTAAGAATAGTACACCAGTTGTTCACAAGATTTTCGAGACTTCCATAAATATACGAACTAATAATAATGAAAAGTTAATCAAAATTATCAAGTGGGTCGAACATTTGGTCTGCAAATTAGCCAATCAAAATTTACTTCGTATGATAACCTACGACTGCGTCGGTGGCACAGCAGTAGAATTTCCGCCGACCACGCCTCCTGTGGTCCGAAGTTCGATCCCGGGCTAACGCACTCCTTTGCCTCGCTAAGCCAGTAATAATAAGACTAGTATAAGAGGGAAGGTTGGGCAGGAGTCTGGCAACCCCATCACGTAAAAATAAACAACACTGCTACTGAAACTACAAGCCTCTAGCTTGAAGCCCTACGTTACACTGGGAACGTAACGGAATAAAGAAATAGCTCCAGGAAGTTGGTAACACCTACTGCCTAGAAACCTATAAATAGCTCTTGTGTTCGAATACACTTTCTCCTACTCATTTCAGTGTGGGTGGGTGGGTGTTCTTCATTAAACCAGCTCGTTGGCTGCACTAAATAGGAGCCGAAGAACGCCGATGCATAATCCCGTGGCTAAATACAACAACCGATCCCTTTTTTTCCCTGTCAAGTTATCAAAACAATAGATTAAGAACGATAAAAAAAAAGAAGTATTTTATTAGATCAATGACAAGAAAGTACCATGACCTTATTGTTTTTTTTACACAAGATCTGAAACATTCATTGGCATTTCATCGATTTGTGTCGAATAATACTGTTCAATATCGCGTAGAATTTTGATGTCATCCGTTTTCACAAAGTTAATTGCAACACCTTTACGTCCAAAACGACCAGATCGACCAATACGATGAATATACAATTCACGATTGTTCGGTAAATCGTAATTAATGACCAAAGATACTTGTTGTACATCAATACCTCTTGCCCATAGATCTGTTGTTATGAGAACGCGACTGAAATGAAGAAAAATTGTAATACAAGTAACAAGTCGACAGCTGACTGCAATTCAGTGACAAATATTTGTCTGAAAGAACTAATATGAGACAAAAAGAGATCAAAACAGTAGAAAGGATGGTGTAGACAAAATCTTGACAATCATTACGTCTGTCACTTTGTTACTTGATTGTGAAATGTACAATCATTTACATGTGCTGGTTTTCAGGGGGCTTGTTTGAGACAGTGACCGCTGGACAGCATTTTCCCGTCCTACGCCGGGACTCTTACATGGTAACCTAGCGGGGATGGGACTTAGGACTTTCAGCCAAAGGGTGGAATCTAGTGACCAGTAAATTTCATCTTCTTTCAATAAGTGCGATTTAGAGTCACACCA